TGTGTATACATTACAAACTTGGCATTAATACCATGATAAGAAATTAGATAAGGCAATTATTACTTATCACTCTCATTCAAAAGTATATTGAAATGATAGCGTTTTCTTCTGTCCTTTTCTCAATACGGATTTCAATTTTTAATACCGTAAAATAATACATGAAAATTCAAATTTTCACAAACTTCAAAACGCTACAGAATATTTACTACTGAATATTAATAAGATATTTTTTTACTAAAATTTTTCTTAATTTCTACTCTACAAANAATATTAATAAGATATTTTTTTACTAAAATTTTTCTTAAATTCTACTCTACAAAATAGCTATCTTAGATTTTTTTTTTACATTTTATTTAAAATTTAAAAATAATTAATATTTTTAATAAAATGTAAAAAAATTAGTTATTGAGATATAGCAATAGACCTAACGTATAACTATTATTTAAAAAAAAAATCAACTAAAAATATTAACTAGATCAAAAGTTATTTAAGTTGTCAGTGAGTGGTGGGCCACCCTGTATATGTCAAATACGAACAATTTTATCTATTAGGTTATTTTAAAATAAAAATTTTTGCTGTCCTAAAAAATATTAAGGCAGTATTTTTATTCAATATTGAATTACTCGAGAACATGTTACTACAGTTATGTGTATCATAGTAATGAAATCATTTACTATTAGAAAAGGAATGTTCATTAAAAAATAATTCTTGTATTTATTGACTATATTATAAAACCATTTTTAGAAGTTAAAATTATTACTTACTGAGTTCTTACACAGTGAACACTAAAGCTAATATATTTCAAGCTCATTTTAATTCATCAAAGTTTTCTCTGACGTATTAACTACGAGTTACGATTATATGAACTTTTTTTTTGTAAATTAAACAATTATTAATTTCTCTTAGATTTACTGATGATTTTAATTGAAACAATTTTTCTAATTGAATTTATAATTGGTCTGTAATCAAAACATCCAAAAGTTATAAATAGATAAACGAAATGATTAGAATGAAATAATTAATCTCAGAATTTGTTTAACTCCCAATATAATATTAGTTTTTTACGCTCCTTATAGGACCTTTAACAAGTAATTTTCTTTCTCAATTGTTCACAAGCAAGTTTTTTTTAATAATAATTAATCGTGTCATTTCAAATAATTAGTATTTTATTTAATTATTTGCGCTTCGGGATGATAAAAGTCAATATTTCACTAACATAAGCGTTTAGTTTAACCAACAATTACAATCAAAAAGTCCTATAGCTTTGCTTCTGTATAACCTAAATATTAAACAATAATGTGTCCTCTTTTGGATTTTTAAAATGCATTCAACCAACGAATTTTGATTTTAGTACAATAATGACGTGCTTTGAGCTTTATAAGATGTTACAACATTGATTAAGTTTAGAAACACTTTTATTGTATTACTATATATTCACATAAATTTATATGCGTTTTGATTTATAGATTAACACCAGCGTACATGATAGTCCTTTTAATGGCAGAAGTATCTGCTCGATGGCTACGAAATGTATCTGTATTCGAGCCACAAAATAACAATCACGTGAGCTGTGCTAACTATTGGTGGAGAAATATACTGTACATAAATAGTTTATATCCTAGTAGTGACATGGTAATTCTAAAAAATTTCTTTTAAATAGGGAAAATATTTTAGAATTTCTTTTTAACGACGGCTTTCATTTTTAGTGTATGTTATGGAGTTGGTACATGTCGAATGATACCCAGTTTTACATTTTAGGAATCATATTGTTATTGTTCTCTGCCAAGTAAGTTTTACCATTATGTTATACAAATCTTCTTCTTATTTTTCCTAGCCTTAATCTCAACTAGTTGGGGTCGGCCAACTAAAAATTCTCTACTTCTACCAGTTAATGTTCCAACATTCCAAGTAACTATTCTTACTTTGTATCTATCTTTCTCCCTTATACACAAGTCCAGCCTAGAGTTAAGTGGTGATGTCCCTACACCGTTGACACCACAAGCGTTGGGTAGATCTGTACACATGTCTTGTGAAACAACTACTAGTCGCCTCTTACGACTTACAGAGGGGCCGTGGAAGTATTCTTATCTCCTATTCACAGGAACTACCAACATATTATACAAATGTTTTGTTAAATCATTATATATTATTGTGAAATTTTACAATTTTTTTTTTAGACACTTTAAAGGATCTGTAATTACTTTATTTGGATTTTTAGTCGGATCTTGGGTAATCACAATTGGCATTGCTGTATCACATGACTTCAAAGCAAGGTAATAAAATAATATTTAAATGTCGTCTTTGATAGATCAGATAAATACATTTATACTTCTTTTTTATAGAATAGAAGAACCGTTTGGATTATTCGATGAGTTGTATGACAAACCATGGACTAGATTAGGTCCCTATTTGTTCGGTATGTTTACCGGATGGTTTTTGTTTGTCACCAAATGCAAGTTGAGAATGTCAACTGTAAGCACAATTTAACACATACTTTTTCCCCAATCAAATTACTAAAAATGATTTTTTTCTAATTTTAGTTGACTGTTATTTTGGGATGGTTCCTATCGCTCTTTACTTTGGCTTACCTAGTATATGGACTTCACATCATACACTTAGACATTCCCGGCTCCGCTCTGTATGCATCCGTCGGTCACTCGGCTTGGGGTGCCGCCCTTACCTGGATAGTAATTGCTTGCTGCACAGGCCACGGTGGATGCGTCAACTCAGCTCTTTCTTTTAGACTTCTACAGCCTCTCAGTCGCTTGACTTACTGCGCCTACCTCGTACACCCTATTATTATGACCATGACCAACTTCCAAATGGACGGACCTCTTCATTTACACAATCTCATTACTGTAAGTTAATTAAATATTATATAAAATATTGTGATATAATATTTAATGAAAGTATTGCATTTATCAAGAAAAAATCTATAATGATAAATTATCATTAAAAAATAAGAGAGTTCAGTTATTTAAATGAACGTAAGCGTAATCCTTTTCGGGTCGTTATCATAAGTAGACCACTGATTCGGGTAGGAGTACCCAACTATGCCGGTCATGATAAGCGTTTTGCAGAAAAAATGATCAGAATCAGTGAAATAAAAATATATTAAAAATGTAATTATTAAAATCAGGAAAATTCGAAAAGAGAATATAGTAAAATGTATTGGGTATAAGATTGACGTTTGTTAATGAGGTATTCCCTTGGACGCATTCAGAAATTATTTCAGGAAAGTATTTAATATTTTTTTACTTTGTTAAACATGCTATAGAATTTTTTTGCTAAAAATCAAAGTGATGATCAAAAAAAAAGGTCATTAGATCCTTATTTCTTAGAAGTTGCCTAAAAAAATATTGATAGCACTGGTTCAAGGGGGGGCCATATCCCCCTTAAATACACCCATGGTATGCACAAAAATGATTAATATTCTAATTATAATAATTGTGTCATATTATAGAATAATTAAAAAAAAATCGACAAATTATTATACCTGGGATTATGTAAAAAATTTAATTTTAATAAAAATATTGGTAACTGTGATTTGGATAGCGTAGTTGTCATAGATGGATCGCAATTTTTACTATAAACTCATAGACTCATACATCATATACGAGATAAATAAGATTATTAATACTGTACTGTTCTGATAATGAATGTACAAACTTATATACTTATAACTGTCCTGAATTTTATAAATAACTTATTTATACATAACACTCCTTGATAAAATATATAAAATAAAGTGCTATACGCAAATGCAAAATAATATCCTAATATAAACTCTGCGTGGACATTAAAAAAAAAAGTACAGTTTAACAGTAAGCTCATTATAAAGCAAAAGATCAAACAAAAGATATATATATAACAATAAACATTATTAAATATATTAACAAATTTGTATTATAAACATAATTAAAAGAAATCGACAAAAAGTATCTTAATATACTAAACATAATATATAAAAATAACAAACATAATATAAAATAGATGATATCTGACAGTAATTAAAATCACTATCATAAAAAACGCTTCGATGCAAATCTGTAGATAGTGTTTAATTAAATAATAAAAATAGTAATATTTGCGATCTTTTAATCGAAATATTTTATAATATTATAATATAGCACAGTGGGGTGGCGGCACAGTGTGGTCGTGTCATAGTTGGGTCCAGTATAGATGATATCTGACAGTGATTAAAATCACTATAATCGCTTCGATGCAAATCTGTAGATGGTGTTTAATTTAAAAAAAAAAATTTCTTAAAATAGCATATTTTTGAATATGGTAGCCATTTGCGCATAGAAGATAGGTCGTCGGGACAAATTTTTTTTTTCATTATATAGTACATAAAATAAGCTTTAATTTGATATATGTTTGAAGGACTCAGTATTTCCGGAACATTTTCAAAAATTAAGTTGAAAAAGTTATTTTTGTAAAAAAAGTTACTATTTTAAATCCCCCCCAATGAGCAGGTTAAGTGATAGATTTTCAAAAAAATGATATCAAATGAAAGGTAAATATCTAAGGTTTTAGTATAAAAAAAAATTATGTTGATTTGTTGATTTTTCAAAAAGTTATGGAAGTTTTAAGAAAAAAAAGTGAAAAAATTTCGAAAATTAGCGATTTTTAAATTTGTAATTTTTTTGGATATTTCCCCCATTT